CAGGGAGCAAACAATTAGCTCTTAGGGGAGAAATTTCTGTTCTATTAACTAAAAGATAAAAGGCCACCAATGTGCTGAGGCAATAACCTAACAATGATGGCACTGGCTCTGGGACATGGAATAAAACCTCTCCGAACAAACACAGACACATGCATTGATCTTAGTCACTCCAAGTATTTGTTTCTGTTGCTCATAAAATACATCCTCTTAAGGTGCAATTCACTTAATTAGCGTCTGCCTAGAGATGAGCCATTTGTGGCTTTTTATCTATGCTGACTAGTATGGAAAGCTGGTTGGCTAGTTCTGATACGGATGTCTACGTTATAAACCTCAGTATCTAGGCAAGAAAAATTTTGCAAAGACAGACTACGTAAGTGACGGAGACTAAAATGCTCTGAATTTGTTCTTTTTGGTTAAATCCTCCGCATCACCAGAACGYTGTTTAGAATAGATACTATGCAAGCAGATCACTAAAGAATATAATTCTCATTAGCCAATTCCTCAATGACTCTAACGCTGAAAGTCTCTGTAGATTCAAGCTCGTATTGGTTTTTTTTTTCATTTTAGTGCRGATTTACTAATGGGTCCATTACCTAAGTGCTCACAGAAAAAAAAATATGTATAATATACGTATACCTCCCAATAATCGATATGTTTAACAGGAAATSACAATATACATATGTGTATTAACATATGTATATTTACAAATACATTACAAAATTTCCCCCAAAGAAGCAAACGCCCCTCATAACATCGTCATGTGTAAGGATAGTCATATTTATTTCTTGTTTACTCTGAGTATATCCAATAACAAATTCAAGATGCCTATTCACACCAAAACTCTCGTCAAACAACAGGCTGACCACTGTTCCTTAACTGACCAAATGCAGAAATTACTTGTGTAGAGAAAGATTAGATTTATATGAAGCATGTGAAAAGACCACAGGGAAATAAGTACGCTTTTCCCATCCTAACTTCAATTCCAAGTTCCTCTTTTGAAAAGCACGTAAAGGACAGGCAAAAACAGAAGGGATCACCCAGCTATCAACTTGAGAAAAATATTTCATAATGCCCTAATTTTTCATTTTGAAAATGKGATCATTTTCAAGGAAATACACAAAGTGCATGTATGGAGGAAATGAAAAATAAAGCAGACCAACTTAATGCCTATTGCTCTCCCCGCGCTCTTAGAGAAGGAGCTGTCAATGAAAAAAAAATTCTACTTTAATTTTCCCCTATTATCAGATTTTTTTTTCTGGGAAAATCTCAGTGCTTTATAGTGTGAAAAATTTCATAATGAGTATGTGTAACAATAAAGATTATGATATTAAATTAAAAGTGTCAAGTGGGACAATCATGGTCTATTAAGATAAACTTACTCTGTGGATATCTAGATAGATTTTCCCTGTATATCCATTTCAATGAATTATTTGCACTGCACAGGCTCTTAGTCTTCTAAAGGAAACAAAGAAAAATATAACATTGTCACAGCATAATGGTCTCTGCTGCTAGACAAATATTAAAAAAGTCATTGAAAATGAATTCTGAGACGACATTATCAAGTTTATTTTCAAAGTGGGAGGCAATTAGACTATGACAATGTTCCATTCCATTATTTCTATTATGCCAGCCACAGACAAAGCAAATAAATGGAGATGGATGGCTACTGTTGATGCACACTGACAGCTACTCAGTTTGCCTTATGGAACAAAATCATTATATTGACTGTCCTTATATAAAAACTGGGCTAATTTGATAACAGGCAGGTATTGTTTCATGATTTTTTTGCTTGTTTATTCCTTTTTTTGGCTTCTGTTTTTAAGTGATGAAGTTATGGTGGGACTGGTAGAAAGTCTGCTGTTTAGTAAAATGGCTTGTGTGTTACTTTTACAGGATTTTTATGTTGGTAAACAATGTTAAGAGACTTTCAGAAGAACTCTTTATTCACATATTCTTGACATTCTGGATACTCAAGCTAAAGTACCACTTTGCCTAATTTTCAAACGAGCAGAAGACCCTCATTTTARAGAGGTTACTTTGACTTAACCTCTCCTGAGGTAAGAAATAATACTGATAAAAAATTACCACTTAACCTTATGATAGCAATTTTCAGAAGTGCTCAGTTCCAATTCACCATCTTTAAAGAATAGGGCAATTTAGTCCAACATCCATCTATTAACTGTTATTCTGGCCACTTAGGAAGTCTCATTTCTGAAGAATATATTCCCTTGAAAACCTAACCTTATATGCAACTGCAATGTAACAAATATTCTGTGCTGCTTCAGTGCTGCAGGAGCTCTTTTTCTACGAGGACTCTCTTCTTTAACATGCAAAAAGAAGTTAACAGTACAGTCAATTTTCTTAACTTGCTAACCAAACTCATGCCTAAACCTTAGGAGCTTAATAAACTAGTCCTTGTAAACTGAACTTTCATTGATTACAAYAGGTGACAGATTCAGAGGATCTAGAACAAATATTGTCTGCCTTAGTGAAACTCAATAACTGATAGCAAAAATAATTACTTGTTATGTATTAACTCTGCATTTTCTAAATTCTGTGCCATGCACACTATTGAGCAGGACCAACCAGGTTCTCTAACATGGAAGCTTTATGAAGTGCTTTAGATTATTTGTCACTAATGGAGAGAATGTAAAAACATCCATCTTACTCTTACTAGATCTAGTCTTACTAGATGTGAATATATCCAGAAAAATATTAAATGAGACATGTCAAACAACACTGAAATTCAAAAAAGGATTAGAACTAATTCTATGTTGCTAGAAATTAAAAATGTAAGTTTAGTAGAAACAAGCTAATCATGAGTACTACAATTATACCAAGTCTCCATTAAGGAATCTATTTTCCCACTATTGCACACAGTTCTATGTCATAGTCAACACAGCAGAACTCGGTGAAACACTCCTGTCTAATAGGATGTCATTTATGTGCAAATATAGTTTACAATAACAGATTTTCAACTACTGCAAATTGATTTTATKTCATTTCTTCCACATGTCATTGCACCACAGAGGATAACTTCTTTGCTATTAATAATCACAAAGATGCATTGCATCTGACAATCCTAACAATATGCTTAATAGAACATTTTAGCTTTAAGTCTGAAGGGAACACTTCTTTCGATTCCACTGTTTTGGAACGTCGTACTATATAAATGATCATGTACATTAGTCCTAYTTAAAAGTTATTCCCCCTTTGATATTATTTATACTTTATTTGACAGGTTTATTTTGGGGTGTTAGCACTCTGACATACTGCAAATTAATCTCCCAAAACAAAACAGTTCATCCTTTTGGATCTGCTTCGACCTAATTTCTCTCATTTGTTTCCTGTTTCTGGTAAGTAATTCTGGCAATTAATCACTCTAGCTAAACCTAAAGTGACATCTTTAGGTGTCATGAAAAAATAAATGAGAAACATAGTATTTCAAATTGCTACTGTTCAACATATAGGAAGACATATGCCGGCTTTATTCCATATATTTTGTTAATAGAATCTGCCTCTTCTTCAAAACAACATTGATGGAGATCTCCCCTGCAATTTGATTATACACCTAGGAAATTCTCAAAACACCTCCTCACTTACCCAACTGAAATGTTCTCAATTCAGTTCATCATGTTCTACACATAGATTACATTTACTGATTCCTATTTTTTTCCACCTCTCCCACGTAATTCTTTTGCATGAAGATAACACTTCTCTAGGAGGTACATCTAATTTATAATTGCATGTGCAGAGAATATTTTGAAAAATACTGTACATAAATCATTGTAGTTTTAAAACAAATCAAAGCAGAATTCCAAGTTCAAACTTGTAATGAAGCAATATAGGCAGTCAAATTCATTAGTCCTTTAAGAAGCCTATTTAAAATTGAACAGAACTGACTGACAATCGCATGCGGAGTTATCCTCGTCTCTTGTTYCCCCTCTAAATTCTTCTTTCCACCATCAAAGTTCTAACAACAATCCCCTTTATTTGCAGCATAAACATGGTACTAATTAGTTTCCTATAGATTTTTAGCTTCTAGAGCAAATATTTCAATTTTGCAATGAGTTCTCTAACTTCACTTGAACAGCAGAGTTCAGGGGGAGGAAGAAAGGACATTCAGAAACCTGCAACGTGAACTGCTTTAAAACTTAAGGAAATTGTTGAGTCATTCAGTTACAGAACAAGTTTTTAAGACCTATATTAAAAACAGCTGCAAGCAAGAGCCAGAAAATAGAGATAAGGAAGGTGGAATGCTGCAACTTAGTCCTGACATTTGAAAAATATTTCAAGCAGCTAACAGTCCAATCTGTTCTTCAAAATTTATACATTGGCATTTATTATCAGCCCATCACATTCACCTTCTGCTTATAAGACCAAGCACCATGCACATTACATACTAATAGTGCTTGGTCTAGTTCTGCAGTCCTGCGCTGTGTTCAAACTCCACTGAAGTATCTGCTTACAGGGTACTACGGAATTAAACTCTGCAATTTTCTAGCTGCCTAAAATTGTGGAAGGTCTAAAAGGAAACACGTCATTCCTAGTCCCTTTCTTTTACACTTAATTATCAACTACTACTCTTTAAGTCCCTTCTGGGTAACCATTTCCCATATAAAGTAAGGGAAACCTACTACAAAGGTGCCCACCCTCTGGTTTACGGAGGTTTACTTCAGCAGGGACTCATATACCATGTCAGGCAAAACCAGGGACATTAGCCAGTGAGGTTTTATTACCCTGCATGCTTTCCTAGCAGACGTATAAGCAATGTCACGTGGACTCCATCCAACCTGCAGGCTCAAGTAGCTATCACACTTGGACCAAGCACAACTCAAAGTCTGACACTGGCTTCTCTCTCAAGGAGGAAACAGTTCGCCTTGTTCCTGGCTTATYGGCATCCTTGGTGAATTCCACCCTTAATAACTGTTCACTTTGCAAATTAGATTTTAAAACTCACACTTCGCTGCAATGCCCATTAGTTTCTGAACATACTTTACCTGGACATCATTGGCGTTCATCCTTGTTCCCTCCTTTCCAACGAAGATGTCATCTATGTCAACCAGCAGGTACCTATCCAAGGATAGCCTGAGTTTCTTTCCAGACAGGAAAGAGATGGCATCTATAAAAATCAGCTTGTGCAGCCAAAAATTCAAGTTATTGCCAAAGAGGACTCGCTGAATCCCATCGTGGAGCCCCAGGTCATGAATTACGGTGGCATGGAGGATACTTTTAGTGGTAGGTGGTGACAGGTTTTCTGATGTCTTTACTTTTGCAAATATCACTGGTTGATAAGCTGTATGATTAATCTGGAAAACTGCCCAGTCATTTCCAAGCAAAGGACCTTTATCAAGTTTAGAGGATTTCGTCACATGGAGCAATGGAGAATGAGGGTTAATGCAACAGTCCTTAATACCCAGATTGCTGTGGACAAGGAAAGGAAAGCCCTTCAACTGAAAGCTCTGCAAGTTGTTCTCACTGCCTTTGTGGAATCCAATAACACCTACACCATATTCTATGCAGTACTTATCTAGAAGGCCTCTGTTCCAAGAGTCCATATTTACATACTTTAGAATATTTTCATATACTATGAGAGCATATTTGCCTTTATTTTTGTCTATAAGCACTGGGAGATCACCTTTTCCAGGTGCAATCTCAATATGATATTCAAATCTGCTGGATTCTAAAATAGTTATTATATCTTGGCCTAATGCTGAATACTGACTTTCCACAAACACGAGCACTACAAGATCAGTCCTCAGGGGATCAATAGGCTTCATGGTTTTCATCTCCATCAGCTTGTATGGCAATAGTTGAAGATCACCACATTCCATGTCTGAAGCAATTTCAGGAAGTTCATTTTCTTGTTTGTAGCCATTATACAAGTAATATGCAGAAATAACAATGCTCACCATACAAAAAGTGGCCAGCAAAATAACTGTTCTTTGAAAATGTCTGTGAAGTTTCATGATAAAACTCATGTTGTTTACTTGCCTTAGATTGTTCTCAACAGCAGCATTAAAAACAAACAGATTCTCAACAGCTTGTTCCAGTCCTCTTAAATATTTATGTCACCATTGCAGCGCATACATCTATCTTCCACAAGCTTTACAGAAGATATAACCTAGAAGAAAAGAAAATCTGAGTTAATCCTTACATCACACTTGTGAAGTATTTCCACACATAATCTAATTGACAGGAGACAAATCACTGCTAAGCAGAGGTTTGGAAATGGGCAGCTCAAAACTTCAGTTATTTTTTTTCAGGTTTTGCATCATCCTGTTCCTCATTAGTTTTTATCATTTCTTTATTTTGTAAAGCACCTTTTTATAAAGCAGTTGTCATGCCGCATGTCATGACGACAAGCACTGAAGCTCAATACCTTTGCACAAGTACGAAAGATGCAGTTGCAGCAACCTCTGCTTTGATCATCACAAAAACCAAGGCTAAGGCTTCAAGACCTAATGTCTGAAGCCTAAGTCTTCAGCAAAGAATGGCTGACAACATTGACAGAGGTGTTTGAGAGCAWCATTTCAGAAGGGCTGCAACTCAAGGGCTGCTAATGGAAGCAGCAGCACTCGGAGCATCTCCAGCAAGAACATTCTAATCCATTCCACAGGGCAGCAAACCTGCAGCCAGCCAGAGAGGTGCCTTCTCTACAAGAAAGGCAATGTTGTTTTCTCCTTCACTCCCTACATTGCYGGCACCTTCCAGGAGCTATGCAATGCTCTGGAAAGGATGGACATGCTACGACAGATGCAAAGTTTTGCCTTGAGAAATGAGGAATTCTCCAAGAGCCGGCAGGACCCGTGGGCAGACTTGGCATTCTCAACACAGAGAAAGGAATGAAAGGAATGGAATAGAGTGCACATTTAAATGAACATTCTCTCTATTCATCTTAAGGTAACACTACAACTTTTTGTTTATTTAAGGATTGTTTTGCAAGTTCAGAGCTCAAAATATACATAATATATATGTAAAGAACAWACACTTACTAATACTGAACTAATTTTAAAGTCTTGGCAATCTTGGCAATGTAGTGGGGTTTTTTGTTTTGCTTTTGTTTTTAAGGTCGTCACTCTTTATCACAACTTTAGATATGGTTTTAGGAAATATGGTACTTGCCCAGTATCATTTCCAACCATAAAAACATACAAAAGACATAATTTAGAACATACCAATATTGGKTAAGCCACTGGAAGCAGCATTTCAAAACAGAACAGTGCCTGTGAAGTCTTAGGCTCATGACAAAAGAACAAAATAATTTACAAAAGAATAAAGAAGCTATGAAAGCTTGAAACGTAATACCAATAAAAAAAATCCAAATATAAGGGAAAATCTTAAACACAGCCAACAAGTCTGAGAACTGTTCACAAGAGTTCAAGTCTGTTAGTATTGTTTCAGTTTACCATGTGAAAAAGCTATGAAAAGACCCTTAGCTAATACAAGCCATCTTGACTCATGAATTTCAATGGGATTGTGTCAATGTACACGAATGAAGGGTACAGCCCCAGCTGTACCTCAGAACACTTGGAAATACTTAACAAAGATTGCTACACATTACACTGATATAAATTCCCATAATGGTGACATACCATACATTTCCCATAATGGAGAAATACTATACAAATTATTTTGTAAGTAAAACCTCTCTCAATCTGAAGCAATAAAAGCTGCTTCATTGTTCTTTATCTAGAACTCTTTTATTTTAGAAAATTCTTCATTTGAATTCTTACAGAATTTTGTATTTTATATTCTGAAAATTCAGACGCTACCTTTTACCTATGTTATTCCAAATATGTGGTATCAAAATGCTCTCCTACGTTGAAAACAGGTAATAAAAATATTCTTTGTCCTTCCAACTTCACATATGTTTGAATTTTGCTTCTACTTGTGGGCTCACAGCATGGCAAGATCCCGCTAAGATGAAGCTGAGTCATGGAAACCAGTTTTGTATTTTGCTCTGAATGCAGCAAGGCTCAATATCATTCTTACTCACTGTAGTAGAAGCGATGTCTGTAGCCCATACCCATGTCTCAAAGATCACCTGTCTTGCATAGGATATAGGGGATAGGTGTCATCTATAAATATTTTCCCTCCTCACTGACAAGCTACAACTGATAAAAGAATAAATATCATCAAAAGCTGAACTCCCTCATACGCAGTCTGGTGAATTTCTGCCATTTGCAGCTTTTCTTTAGCTCGTTGTTTCATTGCAAAGTATAAATGACCAAATCTTTGGCTTCTATAGATCATTTTAGCACAATGACACTAATGGGAATACTTGAGCAAGACAGCACTGATTAGAGATTTGGTCTATTAATGAGAAAAAGTGAATAAATGGAACAGGAAAACAAAAATCTTGATTTTGGAGTTAATGGCAATAAAACTACTATAATAACTAAATATCTATGCGACTTGCAGAGAAGTTTTTGCCCCTAAGCCTCGAGCCAGTCCCTGAACTCAGATTCATATGAGGGTGCTGACAGTCTGTGCTGGGTGCACGTCAGGGCAACACGGCACACCCTGTGCCCTCACGGGTGCAGTTTTGCACTAAGACTTKCATGGTGCACAAGGCTCAAATGCACACTCATTTTCCATAGCTGGCTTTTAYATGTAGCACAAACACGCCATTTTCGAAGCTCAGTAGCTGAAATGTGTTTCTGACCATTTAGATTTGTATTTTCTGGAACCAAAACAAAACAAAATGATACCAATTCCACATTCACCTCAACATACTACAAAGAAAACTGAGTCACRTAAGAAATTGAGCACTCACCTATAGACAGATAGATAAATTTGGTTTAATTTTTGCCTCAGTCATGCACAAGGGCTGCTTAATACTGTGACCACTGTGTAGGAACAATAAAGTTGTGGCATACTCATTCCCTACAGAATCTTTCTCATGAAAATACTTTTGTCAAGATCAGACAAAAACTGTGCAAATKTGGGACTTATTACTTACCAGTATTACTCAGTTATATTACATTTATGCAATTAGATATAACTGAACATGATTTTAATTCTATTTTAGTACTGTTGTAGTAATACCTTACTGTTGTTGTCCAGTTTTCTTCTTTTCCAAACTGCCCACTAATAATAGCAACATACTTCTCACATRTAAAGTGAAGAACAAGTTTTAAGGGAAAAATAGACAAGAAATATACTCCTTGGCTTGTCATATGGGTATTTAAATATACAGTGATTATCATGATATCTAATTGCTTTGAACATAAAGCCTTTTTTGGCCAGCTATCATGAAACACTGCCTTAAAGGAAGGACCCTGAAGCTGTTACATTGGTGTTACTAAACTGTAAATCTATGAATGACACCGCAGAAGGCAGCAAAGTTCACTTGAGAACAAGCAATCCAGGACAGGTAGCAATGCTCAGATTTTTAAATCAATTATGAAATATATAAAACTGGTCTTCAAATATTTAGTATCTCTTTACAACATTGGTCTGCTAACTAAATTATCGAAGTAGTGATCACTCAGATTAACAAATCCAAGCAAAAAGAGGAGATCTCATGTTAGGAAGATGTTTTTAACTTGTAGAAATAGTGATAATAGACATAAACTGTCAAGGGAAGCTACTGAGACCCTTTGGTATCATAAAACTAACCCTGCAATGTTGTATAAGGACTTATATTTTCTCTCCTTAAAAAAAAAAAAAAAAAAGAAAAAAGAAGGGAAAAAAAAAAAGGCTTAAGCAGAGCAAAAATTTTGGTAGACATTACATGCTTTTCTAAGTCTTTAGGCAAGCAGTTTTCAGTTTCTATCATATCTCTGTTGTCCTCAGCTCCACATCGTACTACTTTACATATCAATAGACAACTTATAGAAATAAAATAATGCATCAGAATTTGTTATTAAAAGATATTTGTATTATGATGCTTATTTGTATTATGATGCTTACACATACTTCTTTTTAAAGAAGGCTTGGCTTGGAAAGTTTATTAAATATAGTAAAGAAGTTGGGTTTGTTTTCAGATTACTACTTTACCTTTCTACCGCACTTGCTAACAACAAAAAAAAAACCTTAAAACACCACACATCTCATACATTTTTTTCTGAGACAAAGCCTACTARCACTATCCTGCACTTGCAGGAACACAAATAGACGCAGCACAGCCGACTTGCCCAAGGCGACAAGGCAACGCGTGGCACGTTCCCTGGCTGCAGCCTTGCCTGAGCCTCCGCTCTCCCGCAGCTGCCAAGYACACCCCGGCGCAAAGGCCGAAGCGCCAGAGCCCCTGCTCACGGAATGGAGCCGTGATGCGGACAGGGAAAGAGACCCCGTTTTTCTGTCACTTGTCATTTTATTGAAAAAAAAAAAAAAAAGCAATTATGTAGCATGCCAAGTAGTAAATTAAATCACAAAAAAACTTCTCTCTCATTTCCCAAACGATGTACGTGAGGGCTGAAGCAAACATTAACACATGCCGATTGCTACATGGGGTTTAGAGAATTCAATTAGCTAGTAACACCTGAAGTTATTAATAATTACTGTACCGTTATAATTGATTTTGTTCCCTCACTCAACAAACCGATGTCCAAAAACACTAGAGGGCAACAGTGTCGCACATGAGGATTTAAAAAAAAAAAAAAAAAAAAAAAAAGGAAGGGTTGATTTGGGTACCGCTCCAGACATACAGATGCTAACTGAGCTAATAAAGGAGAGAGGAAAAAAAATACCAAAAAAAAGAAAAAAAAAAAAATAGAATCGCGCAACTCCGCGCTGGGGCTGTGCCCGGGGGCAGCGGCGCCAACGGCCGCTAACGGCCGGCCGCTCCGGCCAACGGCCGCCGGGCGCGGGGGGAGCGRGCAGCGCTCGCGCCCTCCCGAGCCGCTCGGGAACTTCTGTCCGCGCCTCCCGCGGCCAGACTTGGGAGTTTCCCCGCCGCGGAGCGGGCGAGGCGCGGCCGAGCCGCCCCGCGCCCCGACCGTTACCTGCGCCCGCGCT